ATATGTATGTATGTACAAAAAAAATAATAAAAAAAAAAATTGAGGGCATATAGTGTCTAAATAATTATTTTTCGTATTTAATAACTATAATTAACTTAATTATTGTAGGCCTAGGAGCTATGCATACATTAAGTTTTTTTTAATATAATATTATTCATTTATAAAATTGGTTATCATTTTTTTAATACAGGTTTAATCGTATAAATTAAATGTGCCCTATGATAAAAAGAAAAATTATAGAAAAAGCTTAATCTTATGGCTTATTAAATTAATATAAACATAAACTTATTTAAGAATAATTGTTCGTTATTATAAACTTAAATTAAGCATTTATTAAGAAACAAACTATTTCATCATGAAATGGCAATGAAAGAGAAGTATTGTATTAAATTGCATAAATTCATATAGAACAAGAAAATGAATAAAAGGCTTCGGAGAAATCGATTGCATATTTATTAAATATGCTATAATTTTTCAATATATTAATTATGGCTATTTATTAAATATCCTTCTAAATTGGATTGTCTACAGAATTAAAACACCAATTAATTAAATTTAATTTATATGCTAATGTTGAATATCTTTTTAAAATAAGTTTTTTTTTTTAATTTTTTGCACATTAAATATAATTATAATTCATATTTATCATTTTCCACCATAAAATGATTTATAATTTATAGAATCATATAATTATAAATTTTTATATATTTTTTGCACCCAATAAGGTCACTCTAACTTCAACGTCAACTCTTACAAGCAACCACGACCTAGTTGATTACCTCCAGAATTAAAATACCCAAATTAATTTAAATTAAAAAATAGGTTGACTTTCTTGACTGAATGATAATAATTAGTCTGCTAGAATTCAGACTCACATTGACCAATTCCTCGGCCAATATATTCGCAACAATGCATTAACTATATAAAATAAAAAGATGTTATTAAATTTCTATCTAAATATAAATATTTATTTCAAAGTGAAATGCGATATTAATTTTTTAAATATAAAATTTTAAATATATTTAATGAATTTAAAATTGAATAATGTTAAAATTAAAATATATTCGTATTTTTCCGAATATTGGGTACTATTTTTTAATCTAAAATAGAAGAATAAATTTAAATTAAAATCACAAAAATTTTTTACCCACCCTTTTTTAAATTTTATCGTTATTTTATCATAAATTTTGTAGCAAATAATTTTATTAATTTATGTTATATGAATAATATTACTATAAGTATTTGGGCAGTGATGGGCGATATGCCCCTATTTTTTTAATTTATTTAGTGTATGCATTGAGATAGCATTTTTTTTTTATTTTTTTAAATAAATATTCAATCGATGCTCTCATATTAAAAATAAAATTAATTTATATACGCCAATCAAAATAAACTCCTAAATGCGCCTTTGATTTACTTTCTACAATACTTATTCTATAAATAGATGGTTGTTTATCTTCATATTTATATTCTGCCCTTGTCGAATAATTATTTTAATTAATTTTAACTTTTTACATATTAAAATCAAGGAAGATTTATATACATACCGCTTAATTTGTATGTTTTTATATATCCAACATCTAAACTCGATTTTTTACATAAATATCATTGATACGTCAACGATAAAATTTCAATATCTAGACAGATGTTGATGCATCACATAGATTTCGAGGCAAGAAGTAGAGGAAGGAATATTCAAATTTTGATTAAAAGTCAATTAAAGCTTTGATTTCAACAAACGTACAGTTAAACTGGCCGGCTCAACAAGACCTACCTAATGATACCAATTTTGGTTCAATCTGAGTCAAATCAAACTCAAATCAAGTCATTAAACCAGTCTTGGAAGTTTTCCGAGCATATTTGAAAGGTCGAACAAATGTTAAATCTTGTAAGTTTATAATTGAACCGAGCGTCTTGGCGAGACAAATCCAATGAGTCAAAGATCATTCAATTCTGACATCATTAAGACACCCAAATGTCCATAAAACACCATAAGATCGAAGGAAGCTCTCCGGATCGTTCGATTTAAAATGGTTCATATTCCTACATTAATTGCACCAATAACACTATAAAAATAACACCTCCTCTCTTATGAGGAGGGGAGTTGAGATCTGAGGAAGAACTTGAAGCTTTGAGAATGAGCTGAAGTCTAGCACTGCCACTGTCGACCATCGTCGACCATCACTATCAACCACCACTGACCTCTGTCAACCACCGCCGACCCACGTCAGTCGTCGTCGACCACCGTTGACCACTATCAATCACCATTAAGCTCCATCAACTACCGACGACCGTCGTCATTCACAACCAATCTTTGTCGACCACTACTGACGCCGTCAATCACTGCTAACCACCGTCGACGACTGCCAAGCATCTTCGATCACCGCCAAAAATCGTTGAACAACACTGGTCAGACACCCCTAATGGCTATCAGTCGCCGTCTGTTCCTAGTAACAAATTCATCAGCATGTCGACGTTGTAGCTTGAGAAACTAAGTAACTCTTTCCTGCTTATGGGACAAGCGGTTGCAACTGTAATCATTTTCTAATAATAGAACCCTTCAGTTGGGTTAGACCCGTGGTATTTCCCTTTTCAAGTTTCCCATATAAAAACTTCTGGTGTCATCATTAATTTTTTTTCTCTTTTCTCAGTGTGTATTAAATTTTCGTTTCATGCTAAGATGATAATCTGCTATTCTATTGTCACGAATTTTCTAGCACGCATCAATCATCATACCTATGTATTAGATGGCGTGAGGGTTAGCATTTGATCACTTTAGATGACTCAATTTTTAAATTGGTTGAACAGATTGCAACCAAAATATGAAAAAAAAAATTCCATCAAATCAAATTTTTTGACAAAATCGAATTATCGAACCAAAATTTACTTTTGTATAAACAAATCAATTGCGAACAATCTGAAATTTAGTTTTTAGACGAAGTTCAATCGTAACAAACATCAGACATCATATATTTTATATGTATAATTTTAATTTAATTTCAAGAATCCTCCATTTAATTTAATTTTTTTTATTTTTCAATTTATTCAAATTAAAATTTTAGGCACATTCAGGGTCCGTTTGGGACGGCTTATTTGGTGCGGCGGCATTTTGAAAAGCACCTGACTTGTTTGGGTAAACTGCTTTTTGGCAGCTTATGCGTTTTCAAAACACTGAAAAAAGTGTTTTCATACCGCACCTATCTAGGTGCGGTGACAACTTTCCGGCATCAATCTGGCTTTTTTTTAAAAAAAAAAATTTGTAATAACGACCGCACATAGCCTATCAGCAGATTAAGTTTAATCAGCTTATCAGCAGATTATTCAATAAGCTGCAGTTGCCCCAAACAGACCCTTAGTTTGGCCCTTCATTTTATAACTAAATAACACAGAAAAATGTCTTTAACCTTTCAAAAGTTATATTTTTGATGTCATACAAAAAAATTGGATGGTATAGATACAAAAGTATTAGGTGGATATGTATTTTAAATAATAGGAAATTTACATAAACACCCCATACATAATTACATATTTAACATCTAAACATTCATATTTACATACATATCACTCAAATTTTGATATAAAACTTTTGGTGTTAGATATGTAAATGCATAAGAATTTTTAATTATATCAATGAATCTTTCTTCCTTTCATCCCCTCTATTTTTTTTTTTTTTTTCCACCTGCTCTTCACTG